AGAGAGAGAGAGAGAGAGAGAGAGAGAGAGAGAGAGAGAGAGAGAGAGTTGAAACTATGGTTTGTATTAAAAAAAGATGTCAAATATTTGATATAATTGTGTGAAGATATTGAGACCAATAATTGATTTCCCATTCATTCATATAAACGAAAACATATGAATGAATGGACGGTAAGGAAGAGGTATTCAATGGATTTACAAATAATACAAAAATGTTATGAATTGATAGTAAGTAGTGGTGAAGCGTTTGGCGCATGACTTCAATCATCCATTCATTCATATGTTTTGAATGAAAACATTGCGAAAGAAAAGTGAGAATTGTTTGTCTGAATTGAGTGCACAATCGATGCGATCGTAAGACAATTGGTGGTAAGCGATGGGTAATTGGAAACTGGAAGCGTTCAAAATGGGTTTATACATGTGTTTCCCGGTCGGGGCTTTCATGGCCTTCAATAATCCCAAACTATACGAAAACGCGATCATTGAATGGCGTCAAGAGTTGGACCGATTCACTGTCGAAGACGAGGAGTTCAAGAACTTTGTGGAAGAATGTCAGCGCAAGAATCAAGAGAAACGACTCAAAGACATGGGGACGTCATTCAAGTGATACCCATCTGTCCATTGATTTCACATTTCATTTGTATATATATTTTGTCCGCAATTAATGTCTCCGAGAATTAGTCAAAGCTTTTTGTAATGCATTTAAAAATGAGACTTAATTTTAATATTATTGTTAGATATGAAACAAAATAGAGATAAAAGTGAATTGATTTATAAAAGTTATGTCATTTTTATTGCAAATAAACACAATTTAACCGCAATTTTGTGTTAACAGTAATTAATAATTACTAATTATAATTATCTGAAAATATTTCAGCATTTATTTTATTCAAAGAAATGATTTTTGAATACAATTTTAATACACATTAATTGGCATAAAATTGTTGATAAAAAACTTATAAAAATATATAATAAATTGTATTTAATTGTAATTTCTAAATAAAATTTAATAAATTGTTACAAATTGTGACAAAAAGTGGATAATATTTGTCGTAATTTATTGTTTGTTATGTAATAATAGTTTTGATGTGAAAACCGGCGATACTTTTGGCTGTGAATGAAGTGTTGATTGCATTGAAAATCAAAACTAATCACAGGTTTTGGTGTCTTATATCTGAAGTGATTGTTTGGATTCAATGGATCTGTTGTCCAATAATTGCCGACAAATCGCAATATTTTGAAACTAAACTCATTTTACAAACAAAAATATCCAAAAGCAGTGATTAATTGGAAAAAATGATGAATTTGTGTCGATTTCGGTTAAGCGGATGGAGAAGTGGTCGGGCTTTGGGCCGATCGGCGAAGAGGTGGTCACACTCTGACCACACGATACCCGAGAAGTACCAGAAGTTCCGAACGGGACATATGGACGACGCTTTGCTTCCGTTCGGGTCGTGGAAAGAGGCCTACAATCAGCTCCAGAGCCGATACCACAAGCAGTTGGCCGCGAGTGTCCTCTACTTCGGCGGTACTGTACTCTACCTCTACAGCTCGGGTGTCATAGATCTGGTTCTTCCGCCCCCGTATGCCAACGACGACCAAACGCCTCCATCCAAGTGGTCTAAACTCAAGAAGTGGTTCACCTTTGAGTCCAAGTTGAGGGACCCGTCGTCGGCCACTTCTTCGGTGGTCAAAGAGTTGGCCAATTTGCCCGACTCTATACCGTATTTGATTATCGGCGGCGGAACCGCTTCTTTCGCCGCCTTCCGTTCAATTCGAGCCAACGATCCGAAGGCTAAGGTTTTGGTCATTTCCGAAGAGGACTACTTCCCATATATGAGACCTCCGCTGTCCAAAGAGCTGTGGTTTAGCGGATCAGATCTGACAAAGAAGTTAACGTTTAAACAGTGGAACGGAAGGGAAAGAACGGTATTCTTAGAACACGAAGAGTTTTATATTCCGCTCAACAAATTGATGTCAACGGAAACGGGAGGCGTCGCTGTCTTGAAGAACCAATCGGTGGTCAAATTAGACGCCACCGAAAGAAAGGCCTATTTAGCGAATGGACAGACAGTTTCGTACGACAAGTGTCTGATCGCGACGGGAGGCAAACCCAAGAATATCGAGCCCTTCGTGAACGCGGATCCGGACGTTCAGAAGCGAGTGATTCTCTACAGAGATATTAAAGACTTTAAACGCTTGGAAGAGATCACAAGAAAAGCCAAATCCGTGACAATAGTCGGCGGAGGCTTTTTGGGCAGTGAATTGGCGTGCGCTCTGTCCGGACGGTCCAAACTCAACAAATCAAGTCTTGTCGTCAATCAAGTGTTTCCCGAAGACGGAAATATGGGTAAAGTTTTGCCTCAATATCTGCGCGAATGGACGACGAATAAAGTGAAATCTGAGGGTAAACTCTATTGACATTTTCAACGCTTAAACTACTATTTTTATAATAATATTGTTTCCCGAAAATAGGTGTGAATGTTGTGCCGAAGACATCGGTAAATGGCGTACAATTAGATGGCAGTCAATTGAGTCTGAGTTTAAGTAATTCAGACAAATTGAGAACAGATTATGTGGTTTTGGCGGTCGGTTTGGAGCCGAACACAGAATTGGCCGAAACATCGAGTTTAGAAGTGGACGAAAATTTTGGTGGCTTTAGGGTTAACGCGGAACTGGAGGCCCGAACCAACTTATGGGTTGCGGGCGACGCCTCCTGTTTCTATGACACCAAACTCGGCCGAAGACGCGTTGAACATCACGATCACGCGGTGGTCAGCGGACGACTGGCCGGCGAGAACATGACTGGCGCTCATAAGCCATATTGGCATCAGTCTATGTTTTGGTCCGATTTGGGTCCTCAGGTTGGCTACGAAGCCATCGGAATCGTGGACTCAACTCTGCCAACAGTGGGTGTCTTCGCGAAGGCTACCGAAAAGGATACGCCAAAAGCTGCGGCCGAACAGACCAATGAAGGCATTCGGTCGGAAGCGGACGAACCGGTGAATGCCCTCAAACCGGTGCCCAAACCCGAGTCGAGCGGTGCAGTGACTCCGCGGGCGCCGCAGTCGGGCGACGACTTCGGGAAAGGGATTATATTTTATTTGCGAAACAATATAGTTGTGGGGATTGTGTTGTGGAATGTGTTCAGTCGTATGCATATCGCCAGACGTGTGATCAGCGAAGGCAAGGCTTACGACGATCTGAACGAAGTCGCAAAACTCTTTGAACTCCATTCGGACGACTGATTACCACTTGTTATACACAATTAATTTAGAAATTTATAATACAATTAAGAATCAATTTATTAATTTTAATTAAAAACAATTTGATTACAATAATCATTGAATATTATATAATTGGAAACATTTAAAAGTTTGATATAATATATAGATAAATGATTTTCAATAAAAGTTCCGAAAAGTTTGTTTGATATCAGCTCTAAATGAGCTCTTAATTGATTGTTAGCTTTTAGAACCAAACAAAAGGCACAAAATTTTCAATAATTTATATTTCATTTAATAATTGATATATAATTTATAATTTTTTAGGCATAGCTTATGATAAATTAATACGGAATGGATATTTGTTTTAAAAAGTTTGTCCGATTGGCTAACAGTTACAGTATTTGCTGTAATATGAGGTCCGGTTTTCATCGTTTTGTGCATTTGCTTCTAGTTTTATATTATCGTTAATACAGTATCGGTTCGGCAGTTGAGGATTGGTTTCGACCACTCTTTGCATTCGACTCATCACTAAATCCAATAACGTTTCCATCGATTTGGAGACGTTCTGACCCGTGGCTGCACTCGTCTCGAAATATTTGAGTCTAAATATTGACAAAAATAACAAATGTTTAGTTAATAACCAGAATATGTATTGATTACCCATATTTGTCCGCCTCTTGACGCGCTCTTTCTTCGGATATAACACGTCTTTCATAGAGGTCTGCTTTATTGCCACAGAGGACAACATCGGGGTCATCACAGTAGGCATGAGTCTTGAGCTGTTCCAACCAATTCCTTATGTTTAGGAATGACTTTTCGCTGCTTATGTCGAAAAGCACTATAAATCCCATCGCGTCTCGAAAGAAAGCAGTTGTGAGCGAACGGAACCTAAATGTTATTTTGCATACTATTAGTTGATAATATGGGATTTGATTGTCATTTAAATTGGGTATAGATTTACACTACAACTACGCCTACAGTACCCACCAATATATTACTCTGAGGCCAATTGAAGACATTATTGTTTAACTTTATTATCTTTTAATTTCAACCATAATTTCAATGAATACGTCGCCCAATAAATACTTGCAATGAGTTAATAATTTTCTCAAATAAGATATTCCGATATTAAGTGATACAACACCTAATTGTGTATAAAATTGCACTCAATATAAACCTTGGGTTTAGTTTAGTTTTAATAACTTTAAACTTTGTAAATTTAAGTTAAAGTTAAACATAACATAATATGAAAACAAACCTCTCCTGTCCGGCGGTGTCCCACAACTGGAGGTGTACTCTCTGGCTTCGGCCGGTCATGCCATCACTCTTTTGCGATCTGTACACCTAATTGGGTGTTAAATATTTGATACATAAATCATTCATAAGGTTTACAAGTGATCTAAAGTACTCAATACAACAAAAACTAATGTTATGTTTGAAATCGACAGCAAATTCTATGTCAAGCGAATAAATAAATGATTGCTTACAACTCTCTTCTCTCTGAAGTCAATACCAACTGTTGAAATGAATTTTGTATTAAAAGACCCGTCAGTGTATTGATAGAGAAAACTCGTTTTTCCAACACCAGAATCGCCTTTGAATTTAAAGCAAAAATCAATTTAATTTCACAACACATATACCAGACATTCAATTGAATACCGAGTGTCAGGAATTTGATGAGATAGTCGTAATCGGAAGAATTACTGCTATTATTGTTGTCATTCATACCTCTAAAAAATATTGTTTTTCAATAATACTGTTTAATAATATTTCAATTGTTATAATTTTGTATTCTCGATAATTAACTCTACAAATCTCAATATTATTTAATAGAGAAAATAAAGATTTCACAACAAAATACAGTAATTGTCTTTAGTATTGGATTCCTTGAATAATCGATATAACTTGTAATATATTTTGGTACAAAACCTAAATATAACACTTCAAAGCCAATTGAAAAGTATATCGATTGTTAACATTGTTAACCGAAAGAGAGAAAAAGTTTGCGGGGGAGTCATGTCATGTCATGTCCATATATAAGCGCTCATCCATTCATTTAACTGCACTTTTGCCCATATATTTCAAACTATTTCTATGGTTTGTTATTTATTATATATTTTACGACAAAAATGCTATTCACTTCACTGTAAGAATATTTATGATAACCACTATAAACACGAGTGTCCGGAAGACTATCTCAATTTTTCAAACATTAATAAAACGTTTGGTTTTAACGTTATTTTATTGAATTTTTAGTACTTTTTTAAATGTAATTCACAAATTCCTGTCTAATGATATAAATAGCTATGGTTAATTTACTCATTACCGCACTTAACCACTAATTTTTAATTATTGTCCCAAATTTAATAATCATTAGAGTTCTAAATTCCTTGTAATATGTATTTAATTGGAAGCCATCAAAGGGTTGGTTTCTATGTGTGAATATTTGTTTATTAAAATTACATTGTGTTGTAATCACTGAATAATATTCAGACAAATATACAAATGTAATGATAAAATATAGTCTTTTATTATTCATAAATTAATGACAATATTAATGTTTATGACTAGAAGTGATTAGTAAACGGATCTTTATATCAATAAACGCAATATATTATGTGAAAAGTGTAGTTCACATGAATTTGTAGTGTATTTCCGATTATAAACGAAAATTTTGTGACAAATATATAGAGAGATATTTATATGTAGAGAGAAAAGTGTGAAAATGAGAATCAATACCATGAAAATGAATAATATATGCATTTCTTGCTTTGAATATCTCTGTATTGCAGACCCTTTTCACTCAATTCTTTATACAATTCCTATGCATACAAAACACTCAACTCTTTTGTAATTTAAATTATTAATTAATTTTTGTGTAAAATTAATTGAAATAATAGATGTTTTGAGTGTTGGTAATGGCATACATGTATGTAGTAAATGGAAAAATTGCATTTTAATATTAGTATTGGCATAGCATAAGGGAGAATGATATATAACATGGATATATGGTTCACATAATAAGCAACATATGGAAGAGTATTGCAAACATTGAACTCAAATGTGAGGTGAAATGAATTGAAAACAATCCTCACTTACCTCTTAGACCACTTCAATACAATACCCGATCGTATTGTATGTTATAATCGATTCTATAAAGCGATTATTGCAATGAAATCAATACAGAATTGATAGACTTGTTGCACATTGAAGGCTATGTTAATGATAACCACTATTGAAAAATACAGTGTATAATACAGTGTAAGTGTAAGTCATTCCCTATTTTCATAAAAGTGTTACACTTTTCGACAAAAAACGGATGAATTACGTCATCATATATGAAGAGATGCGAGAAATGCAGTGAAAGTGATCGCAAATCCCATATTCTCTCACAACTAATACAATGGGATTCGCGAACACAGAGTGAAGAATATGTCACAGAATCTCTGCTTCCGTGTTGTGTTACGTTATGCTAATCCCTGCCCTTAATGTCTATCGTTATAATCGAGTAATTAATGTTTAATTACCAAACCATTCAATCGATTGAATATATTATATGTCATATACGGTAGAGAATGAATAAAAATATGTTGTGTTATATGTATGTTATGTGTAGTAATTGTAGCGCAGAGTAGACGCAGACTTGCTTTCAATTATAACATTGTAGATACGTTTATAACGACTACAACCACTATAAGCGCACTAACACTACAGGTATTGTGTAATAATAGGACTACATCTGCAAAAGCACTTCAATTCAATCGATAAATTCCTACAATACAACATTCAATCCTTTAGTTTTTGATTTATTTATTTATTTATCAAACATTGTTTGTCTAATGATTCAATTCTTACAATAAACACTATTATGTTTGTATACTAAACACATAATTAACATTAATATTTCCAAAACAATCTATGTAATCATTGCTTGATGTGAATTTTAAGCTCTTTTCCTGTAAAATACTATAACTTTTATTTCATTTACAAGTTTTGTCATTATATTCCCGTATAATTGAATTCACATTACGATTAGTCATACTTTAAGGTAAATTAAAATTCATTTTGGAAATAGGATAAAATTTACTTAAAAACAAATTAAAGAAATTGCATTATACTTTAAATGGATATTTGAATGATTATTAAAATATTTAATATTTAATTAATGAATGATTCATTTGTTTTGGATATAAAATTTCTCACTTAATTGGTTGTATGTTTTTAAATTCAAGCAAATTATAAAATCTTATGATTTTATTGCAAATATCAATGAAATTATTAATTAGAAAATTTTCATATCATATGCAGTAATAATTAAAATAATAAAAATATATAATAATTAATTTGATGGAAAACTTGTAATGAAATTTCTTAATTGTATGTCTTTTTAGGATTAAATATTATTAAGTATTAAGGATTAAGTATTAAAAATCTATTGAAAAGTGAATAGTAATGCAATTCTTCAATATTTCATTAGCTGTTAACCAAATATACGAAAAATGAAATTACATTTTATTGAATATACATTTTTCTAACATTTATTACTCGATTCTGTATTTGAAATATTAATGAATGTTTTGTCTGAAATATATGTAAATATGTAAATGGGGTGACAATTAATCAATGCATAGCTTTAGTCACTCCACAACTATTAACGCCAACAAATTAGTCACTAATACTCTTATAATGCATTTTCTAATATCTTTTTCATAATTAAGTTTTGCATCGATTTTTGTCTTAACATTACATAAGAAATACTGTAATCAATGGGTAGTAAACGAGTCGTAAGGGGGGAGTCATTGACAGACACAGTGAGTGAGTGTCACAAACCATAGGCCAGCCTATCGTTACATGAGATTCGTTGCCAATGAGGGGGCAGTGATTATGTGGCGTCACGTTATATGTGTACGCGTTGTGTAATACATGTACTGTATATGAGATGTGTTTATGTGTTTTGTTATAAGAAATTGAATGCAAATCACAATTGAATTCTTATTACAATTGTTTTGAATCGAGTGTTGAATCCAACGAATGAGTGATTGTTTGGCAATAATTGGTTCCCATTTGCGATCATTTGACCACTAGTTGTGCCAATACTCACACACTGTGTGATTGTGTGTCCATTCAAGGCATAGATTATGGCAACGGATTGAGTGATAATTAGACGGCTGTTGTGGTTGAATGAGATGTGGAAGTGATGTCTACAGAGTTAATGGTAGGCATAACTAGTGATATGACATTCAAATTGCGGTCATTTTGATGTGGTTTGCAATCAATGATAGACTCACTGATCGTTATATTTATGATTAATTTTGCGTTTGTTTTATGTTTTATATGTTATTTGTATTCAATATATGACTTCTCATCTCAAATGTCCTCATTTTGGACCTCTTTTTCAGAGTTACGGCTAAAGAGAGACATAAAGCGATCACAACATCACTCATCACTACATCACTCATGAATTGACGTTTGGTTTCGATCGCAAACTTATTGACCGATCGTTTGGTTTCCGCCATTGAATTGACATTTGATTTACTTAAGCACTTGAGTTTGGTTGACACGATTCAGTGATAATATCGACCATCAGTGGCAATGCCGGCCTTCTTTCTGGACACGCCAGACATTCTTCCGCTGCCGAGTCTTCAGGCGTACACAACGATCAGCGCTCTGTTGTTGTCTTGCAGTATATATTATGCATTTCAAGTCACTTCAGAGCCCGACTGGAAACTGAACGCCACTCTAAGTGTTGGCCTCACACTCGCCAACGACAACAACATCACCGCCAATGACACGGATTTCGCGCACATTATCACCAGTAATGGGACTCAGAGTCCGCACACGAATGAGACGTCTTTCCATTTGGGAGTACTTCTGGAGAGTGGGCTTATAGTGAGACTAATAGATGTGGTGTATCTCATGTTTCACGAGCCGCTCTGCATTTGGACACTCATTAACTCTGCCTATTGTTGTCTAATACTAGTGGGGAAAGTGATCCAAAAGCTAGTGTTTGGCGAACTCCGAGTCTCGGAACAGCAGCACATGAAAGACCGCTTTTGGAACTTTGTTTTCTATAAATTCATATTCATTTTTGGTGTAATGAATGTCCAATACATGGATGAAGTGGTTCTGTGGTGCAGTTGGTTCTCCATTCTTGGATTTCTCTCGCTTTTGGCACAACTATGTAGAGATCGCTTTGAATACCTGTCATTCTCGCCAATGACTCCCAAATGGACACACTTTCGTCTGATTGTCCTATTGATGGCTATACTGACCACTTCTCTCTCGCTGTTTGTGGTCTGTGTTTTGGTGGGAATACACGCCGGCATTAATACGTTCGCATTCATGACTGCCGAGTGCTCTTTAGTGGCCGTCCGGACCCTCTTTGTGATCGTCCGCTATTCCATACACTTATGGGATCTTAATTATGAGGGCGTTTGGGAGAACAGGGCTTCGATGGCCTACTATACGGAACTGGTGTTCGAGTTGTCCACTCTGACCATCGACTTCTGCCATCACTTGCATATGTTGTTTTGGGGCAATATTATCCTATCGATGGCATCGCTGGTCATTCTGATGCAACTCCGATACCTATTCTACGAAATCAATCGACGGATTCGTAAACACAAGAATTACTTACAAGTAAGGCATTGATTAAACTGATCCCTTGTTTCCATTACTAACCGATTGTCTGACCAAAAGGTGGTTCGACTCATGGAATCCAATTTCCCGATGGCTACTAATGAAGAGTTAGAGAAAAACAGCGACGACTGCGCTATTTGTTGGGATCGCATGGAAACGGCCCGAAAGTTGCCGTGCGGTCACCTCTTCCACAACTCGTGTCTGAGGTCGTGGTTAGAACAGGACACGAGTTGTCCCACTTGTCGCACATCCCTTAAGAATCGCAACGAAGACGAAGACGAGAGTCCCGAACGGATCCCCAGTGAGAGGAATGGTCGCGACACGGCTCGAGTGGTGGGCGCCGGCGGCCGAACCAATCACTTCTTTCATTTCGACGGTTCGCGTTACGCGAGTTGGTTGCCAACGGTGTCCGTTGAGGTGACGCGTCCGCACCTCATAACCATAGGCGTCGCCCAAACGCCTCAGGACTCCAACGAGCCTTCAATAAGCGCTCGAAATGCCGTACAAAGCGCTCAAATCGATGATATGAGTCGACAAGTGTTGGAGTTCTTCCCTCACATACCCGTCAATATAATCGCCGATGACTTACGAATTACACGATCCGTCGAACTCACCATTGAAAACATATTAGACGGAAGAGTCGCTATTCCCGTCCAAAGCACTTCCAGGTATGCATTCCTATGGTTTGCTATGATAACAGAATCTAACGCTTAGTTTGTATGCAAACAGAACTCAATCAGAGTCTATACCTTCTTCATCATCGTCTTCGACGACCACTTATTCAACGTCTTCCTCGACTTCTATGAACTCAAACCAAAACCAATTAGTCTTTCCAAACAATACGACAAGAGATGAGACCGGAGAAGAACAGCAACGAAGTCAAAGCTCTGAACACGAGTCAAGTGATGATGAGCTGAGCTCTAGTGACTCGTCAAGAGGTGCCAAAGCATTCATTGGCCACCGATTCTCGAAGTCATCGCAAGAAAGGGAGCAAATGCTCGCCAAACGAAAAGAAGAATTATTAAAAAATGCGAGAAAAAACTTTGTTAGTCGCCAGAGACTGGCCCTTAACTCTCGTCTCCACTCAACTCTCTCCTCTCCTTTTGATCAAAATTGAGTGAATAATTAAATTCAAATTCAAAAACAATTATATTTTTTGTCTAATGAAATGAGAGTTCAATTTGTTTGTTGACAATTATGTGATCTTAAAAAGTATAGATATATTTAAGTGTTTTTGTTTTGTCATTTCATCGCAACATTTAGTCTGTAAAATGATATCATTTTAATTGTTTTGCATTTTTTGTGCCATTCTTTGTTTTGTGTTGAAAATATTGTTTAAATTTTAAAATTACTTATGTTTTAACTTTTACCCATAAAACTCATATTTAATGTCTATTCATTGGTATACAAATTAATGGCATTTTTGAATTATATTTAATATTACTAGTTATCTATTGTTGTATTGAATTCATATTTACAAAAAATAATAATTATAACAATAAATCCTATATTATATTAAGACTCGATCTCAGTTTTGTTCACTTTCTTTGGCTTATTATTAATAAGTTATTAAACGTTTCCAATCGTTCGCCCAATGAATACAAAATTAGAAAACATTTTTAAATTAATTATAGAAATACGAGTCAAATATGTGACAAGGATTATGCAATTGATGTGAAAAAAGACCAGTTATTCCCTAAAAGTGATAGCAATCTGTCAGTGACTGGCCTTGAAATGTGTTTACAGGTATCGCCAGAACCAGAAAGCCTTCACAACCATTACTTTCCCAGCATTTGGTGGAAACGCTTCGATATATTTTTGTTGAATCATTTGAAACCGTTTTAATTTTCTTTCTTTTTAAATTCACTTTATTTTTGCATTCATTAAAATTAATCCAACAGTTATTAAAAATGTCTTTCATTCAAGTCAGTGCTGACAATCACTTCCCGATACAGAATCTGCCGTACGGTGTCTTCTCGACCAAAACTAATGTAAATTCTATTGCGACAAAAGTTTTAAAAACACTCAAAAACTAATATCAAGTTTTTTTTCGTAAACGCAAATTTGTAGACCAGTCCGAGACCTGGAGTGGCGATCGGCGACTATATCCTCGATTTGAGCCAAATCTGTCATTTATTTGATGGACCGATAATGAGTGCCAACGCCTCACGAGTTTTCAATCGTTCAGAATTGAATGACTTCATGGAATTGGGATACAAAGCATGGGCTGAAACGAGAGCTAAACTGAAATACTTGTTGGACAGCTCCACACCTGTATTACGTGACGACCAACGGCTTCGGGAAAAGGCGTTTGTCTTGCAGTCGGAGGCGAACATGCATTTGCCGGTCCGTATCGGCGATTACACGGACTTCTACTCATCTATAGAGCACGCGTCTAATGTCGGCACAATGTTTCGCAGCGCCGACAACCCTCTCCTCCCCAACTGGAGGTATCTTCCGGTCGCATATCACGGCCGCTCCTCATCGGTAGTGGTGTCGGGCACTCCCATCCGTCGGCCTAATGGCCAGACCCGTCCCGACGACACTAAACCGCCTACATTTGGGCCCTCAAAAGCCATGGATTTTGAATTGGAAATGGGATTCCTTATGGGCGGGCCGTCTAATGCATTGGGGGAACCGATTCCTATCGATCGGACAGAGGAACGAGTGTTTGGTATGGTTTTGCTGAATGACTGGAGCGCCAGGTATGCGATCCCCACAATGTTTGCCAACATTCATATTGTTTCTCATTATTGATGATAAACTTCATAGAGATATCCAAAGGTGGGAATACGTGCCTTTGGGGCCATTTTTGGCTAAAAATTTGGGCACAACTATTAGCCCATGGATTGTAACGATGGAAGCGTTGGAACCGTTTAAAGTTGCGAATACACCTCAGAATCCAAAGCCTTTAAATTACTTATATCATTCAAATCCTTACAATTTCGACATTTCTTTGAATGTCTCGATTAAACCCGAGGGACAGAAAGAGTCGACAACTGTTTGTCAATCAAATTACTCTCACATGTATTGGACAATCAAACAACAGTTGGCTCATCACTCCATAACGGGTTGCAATGTATGCAATATTCAAATTAGTGTATAATTAAGATTTTATATAATTGAAAACGTAATGACAGATCAATTCGGGTGACTTATTGGGAACGGGAACCATCAGCGGTCCCACTCCGGACTCATTTGGATCTTTACTAGAGTTGTCGTGGAATAGGACTAAACCCATATCTCTTAGGGACGGATCAAAGCGTACTTATCTCGAAGACGGCGACGAAGTAATAATGTCTGGTTATTGTCAGTCAAAGACACACAAAGTGGGGTTTGGCTCATGTATTGGAAAATTACTTCCGGCCGTTAATCTCTGAATTTGAACCAATTATTTGACTGATTTTTAATAAAAACAATTTTTTACTGAATCATAATCTTTTGCAATGAATTGATAACAGAATATGACTTAAAATAAATGATAAGGAATACAAAATAAAATTTGAATACAATTTGTGTTGAGTATTGGAAACATATTCACAAAACTCTTCGATAGGTGTGACCGATATATCTTTGCCGAAGAGTCGATTCGGTGTCTTACAGGTGACCCCTTTGATGGCGTGCGAGCGGATCCAAGTGGCAAAATCGGTTTGACCAAAATCGCACGTGCAGTTGATGTCTGTGTTAGTGATTTGTATTGAAATTTAACAATATTAATATTAATGTTCACATCGTTTGCAAAAATGTCATACAATTTAATGTCAATCTCTTGAGCCGTTTAAGACTGGATTGCAAATAGAAGGTGAGGTCGTCGGGCACTGTCTTAATCTCATTGCCAAACAAATCCAAACTTTCCAAATGAGACAACACTTTAATAGCAATCGGAAAACTTCTTAATTTGTTTTCCCTTAACTCCAACTGTTTGAGCGAATCCTCCAAATAACTGAACGCGTCTTTACTTATATAAGCGATTCCGATGTCATTCAGCGCCAGATTCTTGAGCTCATCCATACCGAGGAAGAAATCTTCGGGAATCTGATATTTAATGCAATAAATTAATTTTTACATTTATAAAATTGCAATTAATAAAGTAAATCATGATTAAAATGGTTTACTTCGGTGAAATTTTCGTGATAGACTCGAAATTTTTTCAATAATTTTAACAATTCATTGCTTTCGCGGATTGTCTCTAAATCGATGCCTGTATTGTCGAGAATCAATTCGTGCACATTATATAAACCGGACGGAAGATTAGACAACTCTCGGAGATCTGAATCCCTCACTTGGAGTCCGATTATTGTTTTCCCCGATTTCCTCAATAAGTCGATGTCATTGAATAACTTCTTGGCAGTGGTTTGAGTGCATTCCACTCTCAGACCACTTACCGACTCCTCGACTATCTCTTTGCACTGACACTCGCCCTCCAGAACTACCGGGCATTTCGATGCCAACACTAACAGCGAGTTTAGCGTCAATAGTATAGTTAAATGTAAAATTACACTTTTATTTATAAAGTTTTTTGAAGTCATGATTGAATTTTAAGTAGAAAATTGTCTGAAATAATTTCATTGTCTGTTAAGAATACGCTTTTATCTAAAAGTTTCTATAGTTATCGTTATTTCAAGTATTCTCCCATCAGAGGTGACCAAAGGGGAGATTTTGACTGAGGGCTGCAATTTCTCTCATATAAAAGTATGGTTTGTGTGTAATTGAAATAATATTAATAATTACTTTTAATTAGTATTAGTTTATCACAAAAAGATAACCATGCTTTCAACTGATTCGCAAAATCACTTGAAATGCATTTCGCATTCTCTGATATAATTTTTGATATTTCTTTAATTATTTCTTAATTAATGTCTATTTAATATCACATTTAAATATCTAATCACTTCTTAACAAATATTTGCAATAATATAGGTTTACATCTATTTTTATACAAAACCAATTTTATATAAGATTAATTTATCAATCAATCTTCGTTTATATTGAAAATAATATTAATTTTTTATATTTTGTAAAAATGTGATTATTTGTGCTAAAAATTGATTTAAATAAAAACTTTAATGAATTTATTAAGAAATTTTAAACACCTTTTAATGTAAAATTAAATTAGAATAAAAGAGAAATTAAACCTTGGTTATCTTTTCATACATGGTAAGTTGGTGAAGTTTGTACTATGGTAAGTTAAGTGCAATATTTAACACAACTGGTTAATTAAATGGTGTTAAATAATGTTAAATTTGAAATAAATGTATAAAATTATAAATTAATATATATTTAAATAGCAATTAAATTAATTTGAAATAACATTCAATTTGAATGGCTTTGCGTCGAAAGTTGCGCTCAAAAAGTGTTTGCAATGTTAGCCGTAATTGTTGTCCAAAATTGAGTGAATGTTTTGCGTGAAAAACAACACCATTTGACTGGTATTGACTGCAAGACTGCAAACTGTGAGGCGATTGCATGACTGCATGTGTGGATCCGTTGCAGTGATATAATGGTTAAAATTGATGGTCAATTAGAGCGACAGATCGGAGCGGGTGTGGGAAGAGTAGAGATGAAGCTGATTGAGCCCGTGTTGACCACTTTCCACGTCGCGAAGGTCTTCCGCGAGAACACCGACAAAATCAATTCAATCGACTTCTCAGCCAATGGCGAGACTTTGATCACCTGAAGCCTGCTGCTGAGCTAACAGTAGATACTGACGCTTTTCCCTTGCGTCTTCGCCAGCGAGTTGAGCTTCTTCATACCGCACCTAGACTAGGTAATGTGTGTGCGCCGGTTGTGACGGTAGGTAAGCTCTAACAAAGTGGACGACACGATCCGTTACCTCTCACTGCACGACAATAAGTACATCCGTTACTTTCCCGGACACACCAAGAAAGTGGTGACACTCTGTATGAGTCCCGTCGACGACACGTTCCTCAGCGGTTCGCTCGACAAGACTATACGTCTGTGGGATCTGCGGAGTCCTAACTGTCAGGGATTGATGCATCTGTTGGGCCGACCGGTGGCCAACTTCGACCCCGAGGGCCTCATCTTCGCGGTTGGGATCAACTCGGAGTCAGTGAAGTTGTATGACTTGAGGTCCTTCGATAAGGGGCCGTTCAATACGTTCAAACTTCCTCAGGACAAGGACTGCGACTGGACTGGACTCAAGTTCTCGCCCGACGGCAAGATTATCATGATTTACA